TTATTTTTGTTATTTAAGACTATTTTGCTCTTTTTGCTTGCAAAGCAGCATAACAAGAATCACTTTGGAGTCTATGCATTTTTAAAGACAGGTATTATCATCTGCATTTACGTCTCCATTACATTTTGGTGCATTTTCTTATTATCAATCCACTGCGGCGGAGGAAGAAAGCAACTAGAGAAAACACAAAAAGCTAATAATAAATTTCACACGTGCTGCAAACATGCAAAACAAAACCAAATAGACAATTGCAAATAAGTGTTGCCTATTAGCAGAGCAATCGTCTGCTTGTATGCGTCTTAATTTGCAATATGCTCTCTAGGAAACTGTTATCAGTTTCTTTAATCACAAATAAGCACATAGACAAGTATGCACACTAATAAGAATTATTGCATTAGGGCTGCCAGTTGAATAAGAATTGTTGTGATGCCAAAATATTACAATGAATTGCATCCTTGTGAGCTGTAAATACTTAAGAATAATGTTTATAGATATCCGTTGACTTTTGCTTTAGGCTTAGTGCTGCAGTGTGCTTTGAGCATTTCAATATCAATATGCTCATGAGCTCAGTTTGAAGTGTATTTTGAGAATTTCTTTTGTTCCAACTTTACAAGCAGAAACGTTATTCAGGTATATCTCGTGACGATTAGATGAATGTTACTTTTGGAGTGGATTTAAAGTGTGTGTACATGTTTTCAATAAAGTGCTGTTGTGTACAGTTACTCTGTTATATTCTGCTGTATAGTTACCAATCCAAGTTGAGCAGAGATATTTATTTTGAATTTTTCATGCACAACTAATGGTTCTCATCGACAAACAGGTCCTGTAACATCAAGCTAGTTCATTTAAAAACATGATAACTGAGAGAGATTCTCTTGAACTCTATGTGCACTTTAAATTTTACTGATTTGGTGTATTGGATAGCCACAGACCGCTGGTCAGCGACGAGGCATTGAATGCTCTCCAGAATTTTTTTTTAATACTGTCAGCACAATGGTCAACACAATCCATCTATCCTCTTGTTGATTAAAGGTCCAGTGTGTAAGATTTAGGTGAAAGGGAACTATTGGCAGACATTTAATGTTGAATAATCCTCATGATGTTTTCACTAGTTCATTTCATCTAAATTGTATGAATTGTAGTTTTCTTTACCCCAGAAAAGACCTTTTATATTGAAATACTTTATATTTACATCGAGGAGACCCTCTCTACGGAGGCCGCCATGTTTTTTACATTAGTCCAGACTGGACAAACTAAACACCTTTTGAGTTTTTATGACAACTGAAGCTACCACAGGTTATTTTTCATGTTTGGAAGGAGAGGGTGAGGTGAGGGGTGTTCAGCTGCAACATGCAACTTCAACACTAGATATCACTAAATTCTACACACTGTACCTTTAATGTAAGTGGTTCTATGCAAAGCAACATGAACTATAAATCATACATATTTCACAAAACTGTGAGGAACAACATACCAAACATTAGGCTTCGCATAAAAATACAAAAATCAACCAGAATTATCAACGGAACAGAACTTACAGATATCTGCACACACAACAGCAACACAAAATATCGTATAATATGTAAATAACTGTCTCTTCAACTTCAACATGAGCTCATTAAATGCTCAGACCTGACTAGTTGTAACTGATTGGGAGTAAATGTTGATATTGTAGAATCGAGGAGCCTTTGTCTCAAGTATGCAATGCTCTATAATTATTATTTTAAGACTGAGATAAACATTCAGGTGCGGATCTCCGTTATGACAACAACATTCATAGAATCACTTCCTATTCAGCCATTTGTCTTAAAAAGTAGAACTTTAGTTTTTTGCTGCATTGCATCATATCAAGATAGTTAGTTGTGTAAAGTAACATTACGTAACATGTTAGCACAAGGTCAAGCTATCTCTTCAGCTTTGTGGTTCCTTCCCAGTGATTTTCAAGCTTCAGAGCCCCTCTCTTTCAAAACGATCAAACACTTTCTTTTGTGCTGGAATCACATTTGAAATACATTATAAAATATAATAATATTTAACAAAGGAAGTTTAACAAAACCCATTTCCTGAATTGTATTTTTCTGGAGCATTTACCTATCTCACCTTCATACAGGCCTTTTAGCCAAAACTCCTAAAATTCAACGAAACCATAAGCTTGCACGTCAACAGATCTGTCTCCATGACAACTCAGCAGCAGTCCTTTAGTGATGAAATCCACGCAACACGTTTGAAAGCCCTCACAAAAGTGAGATGCGTAAATTATTGTCTCTTTTTGCAATGAGAGTTCAGTGTGGTCATGTTTCTGCACCATGTTTTGCTGCAGAAAGTGAAAGTGAAGCAAACACTCTATGAGAGGGACATTGTTGCACAACCTTCTACTTAGTTGAACGACCAGTTGAACAAACAGATAACACGACACGCACTCTTCCCTCAGCTGTTAAAAACACTGACTTTGTGTGGAATGTGACATTCATGCTCAGGAGACGTTCCAGGGGAAGCTGGTGTAAAGATGCACCTGCAGGTGTAATTGACCATTTCTAGAATACTGTCCGAGAAGGATTTTGCACACAAAGTTGAGCTGATTCCTTTTTTGTGGACATGAAAATGTCAGGTAAGTGAAGTTTTTCATTGAATTGCAATCCTCTCTGGTTTCTGTCTCTTGAGTTTTTAAAATGTTAAGAGCATTCACTATACCGTGTGACAAACACCTCACGCAGCCGAGACAGTGCTGCAGAGTTATAACTGACACAATTGTCCCAACTGCACAATATGTGAATCATAGGAAATTGGTTTAACGCTTATTACGGTGCAACCACAATGGAAATAATGAGAAAATTGAGCCGTTTTTGCCGTTTAGTGAGACTGCCTTGTAGAAAATGAGTTCATTTTAAGTACTCTGATCTATCACTCACCTCCTGAGTTGGTCTTACATATGAATCCTACATCTTGTCCCTGACATCAAACCATTACTTCACTTACAGGTGGAAGAACCCAGCACACTCTACAGTCAGCTCAGGCTCACTTTTTGATATCATTTGCCTTCTACCTTACTTTTTAAAGTACTCCTGTTGTTTTTAACCTACTAGATAAATATATCTAACTTAATTTGACTTTCTGACCGACATCATTTTGACACTTGCGTTGTGAAGAAGGACATTTAGTAGTTCCTCAATATGTGCCTCATTATAAACAAAGCCTTATGCAGTGACCAAAGTCATGAAGTCACTTTTCAAAGAGCTAATTGGTTAGCATCTATTAAAACAATAGGGTGTGAAAGCTA